ATATTTTCACATGTGAAGATAACACCCTGGTAAAAACATTTTAGGATTTGCATGAAATATTAAACATYCACTAAAATTGTATTTCATTGATAATCATATAATAAATTTATTAGACAGAATCTAACATGCCCACTTGGAGAAACAGAAACACATCTTCACTTGTTGAAGGTGTCTTAGTCATTCACTGCGCTCACTCATAAGATGTGACTTCTTCAACACTCGGTTTCCAACACTCAAAGATAAAATCTGTATCTCCACATGGTCATGTATCTGCACGTGGCCATATTCTCCACAATGCATGACCCTGGCTAATACATAAAGTGCCTCAATCTTTCTTACTTTGTTTGGGATGTCRACTTTAGCACCCTTCTCCACCAGAATCTGAACAATATTCAAATGCCCATACTTGGCAGCAACATGTAGTGGTGCAATGATGTAATTCTATAAGACAAAAACATGGTGGTTAGCCCTGTTCATAAAAGGAAACTCAGGAAGCCCAGCTAGGTCTGATGAGAAAATCCCTAGCTGTGTCCAGTTGATCCCATTTCCTCATAGAGTGACTCATGCTCCTTAACATCCACATCCAACCTAGTCTGCTGTAAACTTGWCAGACGGAAACCACAAACTCCCAAATGCAGATCATGTCTAAGGTCTATTCAAAATCAGACTGTACCTTTGTTTTGTAGTCGATGGAAGCCCCGTTTTGGATCAAGACATTGGCAACATTTGCATTGCCATATTTGGCAGCAATATGCAGAGGAGTGAAGCCATTCTGCAGTAAATTGAAATGATATCAAAAGTAAGAAAACCTATTATTTAAATAATTACATCTGYAACTCAAATGCAGGGACCGGGGAGCAAGGGGACTAGAGAAATTGCTCTTTTCAGAAGTGATTTTTGTAGTATTAACAAGTACAACTCCCTGAAWTGAGTTGTAGCCAATGAGAATGTATTGTTGGATTACCAGTATAGCACAGTGTGCCTAATCTTGGCCGCYCACCCAACTTATTTTTTGTACCAGTGCCCTTGAATCCTTTCCTGCCAAATGTTTCCATCAAATAAAAGACTATTTTAGAAAGTGCCTAGTGTCCTAGSCATTTATTTAAGATTTTTGTTGCAAAGAGTAGGAAAGAATTTTAAATATTTGGTGGTCAACCCGAGTGAGTTCATGTGCAAATGCACAAATTCTTGCTGTCTGWTTGGCTAACTAGTAAGAAAATAAGTTGGGTTTGGCACAGTTAGGCGCTAGGTAAAACATGAGAACTTGACCCCTCCATATTGTTTTTGCRAGTCATCATATAAGTCATATAAGAACTAGAGCAATGTAAAGCCAATGGCAAAATATCCATTAGTGACTTACAGGTGCTTCTACGTCAGGTGAATGGCCTTTTTGTAACAGAAGTTTAGCAGCTTTAGCAAAGTCCTTCCTGGCTGCATTGTGAAGTGAGYGGTAACCTTTCTGCTCATTTAACAACAACAAAAAAGAGTTATTCACAGAATGGGTGTACTATGACAATCAAGTGGGAACAATAGATAGAAGGTCTAACTTAGGGTACCTTTTGYACTCAAGGGAATTAGTAAACAGATCTTCAAAGAAAACTAGGATTTCATAGTGTAATGTCTTTCACAGAGAGTATTTTTATAATTAAAAGAATCATAGGACATGTCAATTTRAGTACATGGTTGACCAGTGCCATTCTATAGGGTATTTGGACATTATTTTGAAACTAAAGTTTAAAACCAAAACATACAATCTCTTTGACATGGCACTTGAAGAGCAATCACCTGTTCAAATAACAAACCTACTCAAGCATCAAATAACATATCAAACATTGAGTGTTGTATTTCCCTGTGTCTGTTGTCTGCGAGGCAGACCCACGAGTTAGCATTGTCCCCGTATCCTTCCTCAATTTTTCTAAAAATTTTCTTTTTTACTTTTCTTTAATTCATTTCTTTTCTTCTTCATAATGTTCAAAAATGTTCATGTCAAATTCGTTATAAATCAACGGCCTTTTTGTTTGCCGCTTTTCCGCAATCCTAATATGGAATTGATCATGCCATATGTGGAGTGAGCTTTCTCGACTCCAACTTTAACACTAACATCTATAGGATAAAGCTTTATATGCAAATCAAAAACAAGCACAACTGGTTTCTTTTATTATTTTTTTTAAAGGTTTATAATGCCTGTAGTTCTTTGAGACTTGATACTTATATTGTACATGGCAAATGGTTCATACCCTAGCACCATGGCGCAGAAGCAAGGCTACTACTTTATCATGACCCTGTTGTACCGCCACATCAATAGGAGTAAAGCCATCCTGTCAAGAAAATGATGGTAAGTACCAATAAATATTCTAGATGTTATGCCAATTGATGTACTGAGACCGATGCACTTCCAAATGTTRTGTTATTAGCCAAAATATTTATAATCAGTAAATCCTCCCAGCTTTATAAATATAATAAGAACTGACAAGTCCATTGTTTGGCAAAGCCAAGGAAATAGGGCAGAGGCAGCCTGGTAAAGGGTTTCGATTGAGGTTTGGGCAATACGTAATCGAGTTTCTTCTAGTTTAATAACGATTTATAAATTGTGTATCACCCTTTCAATACGAATATGGATATAATCCTGTTATGAGATGCTTTACATTGAGTTATGAATGTCGGGTGATTGCTTTTTTTAACAATTTACAATCATGAGAGATGGTTAGGATGAGGTGTAGACACTGAGGGTGTTTACTGCCAGGGTTTTTTATGTCCTCAGGGGTTCTTAATTACATCCCTGTGATATTGGTTAGTAATGAAGGATGGAGAGATGGGATTACCATTTAAAGTGCTTATCCAAGCCACTTGAAAGTCTAGTCTAGTTTGATGATAAAGGAAACAAAAACAAGTGCCAGCACTTGTGCACTCTTAATGATGTAGCCACTTAGAATAGTTGAGTACACAATAATGTTGCAGTTATAAAAAGGACACTAAGAAGAAGCAAAATATTGGTTGATTTAAATTTAGGAACTTTTCCATCATAATAGAGTTTTTGGAAGATGAATCTCATGCTATTGAATATGTTTAACAAACACTTGTCAAACCTGCATTGTAATTGTCTGTGAGTACTTTTCAAGTCCTTCATTATTTGGTGAACATTCAGGAAAAAATGTGTCAAATAATAAACATTTTAACCTGGGGAATAATGTTTTCCTTTTTCAGATCGTGTGTCATTCTTTTGAGAATCCAATTCTTTGTTTGAGATGTATCCATATTCATATGTGACCATTAAACRAAGAAATGATACTCTAGGGAATGACACATGGTCTGAAATGGGAAACATTATGCCCAAGGTAAAAAGGTCTGTAATAATACTTGAACCTCTTACTTCAGTTGTGACTTGCTGTTCTCCTCCATGATTAAGAAGCACTTTAACAACATCTGAATGACCTTCTTGRGCTGCCATATACAGAGGTGTGAATCCATTCTATAAACACAAATAGAGATGAGGATGAGTTAGATCCTGATAAACTCTCCTTGTTACATAAGATCCTGATAAACTCTTTCTATCTAAATTTTGTATTCACATTCTCCTCTTCTTTATAAACATGATTAATAATGCTCTGCCCAGCATATCTTCGCATGGAGCCTTGCTACGTTGCACTTGGTAACAATGTTTCCAAATGGCCTATTGAATCCATAACTTGTTATTTACCAATTCATTTAATATCAAACTCTCACTTACCTGTGCCTTGGCATTAACAGAAGCATTATTCTCCAACAAGACCTCCACCGCTCCTCTTTGACCAGCCAAAGCTCCAATATGCAGGGCAGTGTTTCCTTTCTGGATGACAAGTAAGTAGAGATAGTTACATGAATATAATCCAGGGGTAAAAATAATAGCAAGAAAATGGGCAAACATCTCTTGGGTGTTCCTCTCGACCAGTCACAGTGACTGGTCTCATCTTCATGCATAGATCTAGCCCAGCTGCAAACAATGAATACTTTGAAAAACAAGAGTGGAAATATTGGCACTAGTTCTAGGTTAGCAAAAGCTGTTGGAAATTTCAATATTTCAATCAAAGGTTAGATACTAATTCKTCTAAACTTTATTTGAATGCAAAAATAGGAGTTGCAATTCTATTACTGACATGGTCAGCTGAGCCTCAAGGAGGTCCAACCATTTATAAAATGATGTATTCACAGCTTGGCAGCACCTTCTCCCAAATCATTTTAGACCCTACAAGTACATATTGATCTGGGTGAGGAACACAGGATACCCTCTTATGCAACAGGAAAATGCTTGATTAACTGAGCCATTTCTGGGAAATGTCATGAAAGGTCTAATCCATTCAGTCCTGTTGCTTTTTCCATTAAATTATCATTCCTCTTACATCCTAATATTATTTCTGATGGAGGTACAGTTAAATTGATTTAGTTTACAAACCTTTGTTGTTGCATTGACATGAGCTCCTCTATTGATCAGTTCTGCCATCACCTCCAAATGACCTTCTTTTGCAGACAAGTGCAATGCATTGAGTCCATTCTGTAAAAAAAGGACAATGGCTGTTACCCATATAACCCTTCTTAATCATCATTGCCATCATCATCATTATTATTATAATTCTCATCATCATCAACATTCTCATCGTCATCTCCATCATCATCACCATCACCATCATCATTATCAGCCTCACCACCATCTTCATTATCAATCGTTGTCATCATCTTCTTCTTCATGATCATGTTTATCTTGATCCTCATGATCTTGATCATCAGATCATCACCATCATAATCACCATCACCACCATTGCCATTACCAGCATCATCATCATCATCAACATCATCATTGGCATCATAGTAAATAATAGGGTGGAAAGGAATGAAAAAATATGAGGAATTTGATACTGAATTCTCAAATACATGGTACTGTAATTCCCAATTCTAGTTATATATGTCAGAATAAATATGATTATTTCCTTAGTGGTCTTTGCAGCATGTTGTTCCCGAACCTAGCATTTACAAGCASAAGTGAAAAAGAGAGTTGAACATATTTATTATCAAGACTTACAGCATTGCAAGTGTGGATGTCTCCYCCATCGTTAAGAAAATTGACAACCTTGTCAATGTTTCCTGCCCTGGCAGCCCTCAGGAAGGCAACATCAATCTACAAGAAAACAAGAACAAAGCAAGTTAGACGAAAGGTAAAATGTCACTTTGCCTATAGAATGTATGCTTTTGTTCATAAGAGACTTGTATAATAAATGACCTTGCTATTTATGGGATTAGATTTTGGAAGAGAATTTAGGGATTAAGCTAAAAAGCTCCCCTAACTCATATTTTAATGTTACATGTAACAATCCTATACACTGCCAGGTCAGAGTCTGTCTTCCTTTAAACTAATGGCAAATTCAAAGGCATTTCCTTTAGCCCATATATAAAACCAAAATCCGATTTGACTTTTTTTGTCCAGTTCTTCAAAGGAATCAATCTACAGTGGAGTCAAGCTATAATGAACCCTGGATATCTAGAATGCCCTATCATATCTTAAAYATAAGGCCTGATAGACTTGTAAAGGTTGTATAATTTACAGAAAATATTAAAATTTAATATAAGTTTACATTTATATCCTTGTCATGAAGGAAGATTGACCTGACATGCAAAGATCAATCTGATCTGATAGGCAAAGGAATTTTGTCTCCACTAGGTCTAGTCYGCTTAACTTATGTTTATTGTAGCATCAGCAGATATCATGGTTGTCAGCAGTAAGAGTACCTTCTTTATTGTATTGACTCATTAGCATTAAATGTATGGCTTCCAAAAACAAAAGTATTTGATTATCGAATCAACATTATTACTGTAAATTTTCAATATGAAAACCCTGTGGCAGTGGTTGGAAGGCATGTCGGAATTCATTTTTTTACTGCCGCTAGCCAAAAGTGCCAAAGTTATCGGCTGGTTCATTTTGATTGACAGAAGAAAAATAAAACCAAATTTGAGCAAGTAGCTCACAGATAGTAGTTGGCATAATATATTGAAATGTTCTATAATTTCTATATTAATATTAATTGTTCCTATACATTGCATAAAGAAATCAACTGACACTTGACAACTGACACAATTATYATATTAATATGACCTTCTCTAAATTAAAGCATTTTCAGAGGCACAGACATTTGTTTTGCTTTCTTATCTTATTCTGCACCACCAGTCTAGACAATGTCACAAGTCTTGTTTACTCAACCAAGGACAAAAAATCAAATATGTCAAAAGATATACATATRCCATGGTTTGATCGCGTTTTTCTTTGTCAATATGTAACGTTTTTCAYTTCCCTGAGGATGRYSGAGTAGGCYGAAAGCTCSGAACATATGTATTAAATCTATGGTTGRTAAGACAAATTATCATGAATGTAACAACAACCAACAAGGAACTATTTGATTTAAAGATATACATGTTTTGCATAGTAATATCACAACTGGTATAGTAGGAAATGCTTTTGATACAATTATAAGAAACAGAATCAGCACTAATATTGGTCAATTACTTAACACTCAACAGGCTTTCTCGTTTGCGTACTCAGTAAAATAATTAATAATTAAGTTTCTATGACATGGATTATTTACTTTTCATAACAACGTTCTGTAGCTTATCTCAAACTATTGTAAACTGTTCAAAGTTTTATTGTTTTTGACTGGCACTAATTTTTTTGGGCATTCGACTCCATTCAATCACATAATACAATCAAATGTCTGATTTTGAATTCATTTAATTGATTGTGGGACAGAAGTTTGTTATAAAGAGCTTCAGCCATATTATTAAATATTTAAAAATAAGGCAAATGCATGTGAATTCCTTTCCAAAAAATACTATATTTAGGTTTGGGCACTTAACAATCAGTAAAAAATGTATAGACAAAACATCAATTCCTATCCTGTCTACACTATATGTCTTAATTCAATTAAGGTACAATGATTTTATATACTGTATTGTTGCATATTAAAACAATTTTAGCCATCAGTGTTTTCATTACAAAACGGTATCCAATATTAAATGAATACCATATGGTTATCATGCGTCATTATACAGCAGGCAGTGTGCCAGACGATATGCCTTATAAACAGAATAATAATGTAGTATGTGTTGATAATATGGAGGGGAATGAATGGGTGACTTTGCATAGAACTACATCATAATCCCTGCACATTAAAAAAAAAAATTGAAAAGAGTTTTCCTTCAAAGCTTTTTTAAAAATCTTCAAGGCTTTCACGCTTAGACATTATAATTTATTAAAAGTAAGATTATGATAAGGGCTATCACTAGCCAAAACGTCATGTTTTTACCAAATCTACACACGTTTTATTTGCAATTTTACATTGAATATTTTAAAAATCATTCCGAAAATAAGCTTGCGAAAGATTAAAAAATAGAAATTATTTTTCTATTCCATTTTTGATGGTCTTGCATCCAAAATAATTTTGAAAGCTGTCTGGTTGTTATGATAATTTGGCTGCAAACTAAGAGCAAAATGTTTAATGCAAAAATGAGAATCATGATTAGCATGCATAATAGAAAGCAGTGGTAAAAGAAAATTTGCATTTTTATGCTTGCAACACTGATTATCTCAATTTTATTTATTCTTGGTCTTAAAACTGATAATATATGGAATTATAGAATTAAAAGTCAGTTGGCTCAAAAAATGGAATTCCAAATCCTATTGTAGTACACCTGTTCTATGGGTAATGTTTTCAATATTATATACAATAACAAATGGATGAAAATGGAGAAGGATGCATAATGATCATGATAGGATATGTGACATAAGAATAAGATATGTATTAAAGCATTAAAATAAACAATAAACAAATCAGTAGGAAGCAATCCTTTCATGAACTGGAAACAGGAATCATTAGAATAAAATAAGAAGAAGAATATCCATTAATTGCATGCATGACGTGTGTCTTGATTCTAAAATGAATTTCGGAATCCTAACTGCTAGCTTTTAWTCAATAATTCATCTGATCTCTGCATGTGTGAGAATTAAGAATTGCATTAACTTTGAAACGTTAAGATCCAATAATCAACGTTTAAATTGCTATAAAGTACATTGTAAGATCACGCAAGCATAATTGTAGATATGATTCAGGCATGTCAAAGGGCCTATTGAGACGTGCATTGAAATATTGAAATATCTATAATTCTAAAAAGCTTAACAATATAACGTTATTAAAATACGTTATTACCTTTCGCGTACGCTATATTTATATATATTTTCCTAAAGCACAGTGCAGTACTATCTCCATACAAACAAATCCTCAAGATTAATCTTATTCAAAATTAAAATTTATAATGCGTCCAGGAATTGAATTAGACAAACAAACTCCAAGTTAAGTCGGCGGAATTTTAAACTATCAATTTTGTGGCTGGTGCTCCAATCTTTTAGGATGTTAGATCTACTTGAAAAAAGAAGATCTAGAGAGGTTAAGAGAGGGTTTGYCGAAGGACAACCTGGAATCAAAGGTGTGGTAAAAATATTGAGTCGCACGCCCCCACAGCAAAAAAGCTAGCMTGCTACATGATAGATCAGACCTTCCACGATAAACCTGCTTTAAAGATTTCTAATTTAAGAAGAATTAAAAATAAGTGAATACGACCTTCCTAAAGTAAGACAAAACCACGCTGACCTCGGGAAAGTTGAGGTTTTTCTCAGCTGGCGAGAGCTTCAAATCTAAACAGGTATTTTGCATAAAAACAGATTCTAATAAACCGCCATTAATACTGATAATAAACCTAYAAATTACATGTAGACTTTAATCGCAATTGTTCTCGTATTCACAGGAGATGAATAAAAAAGGCAAACACTGCTATGGTTGATGTTTCTGGGATTAACGAGGTTGGATTTTCCAAAACTTTTTAGTTASATATTTTTTCTCAAAACCACGAGTCGTGTGCGAGGACCTTTTTTCAAACACCTTTCAAAAGTCGAAAAGATAACAACAACCGGAAGAATTAAACAGATCTAAAGCCGAGTTGCTGAACCTTAAATAAAAAATCACCAGCATGCATTTAAAGGTAGTTATATTCCTCTGCAAGGATGTGGAAGTTTATAGGAAATGTTGACGTGACGAGCTGTCTCGTCGYGTCGCCCACAAAACTAGAAGTCACAAAATGCATCCAACTCTCATTTTAGAACGCTGCCACTGTTCGCTGAGATTCGCATTGAATATATGGYTTCTTTTGTCTATATGAATACTCAAATCTTACAGCGAAGTTTTTGAGACATTGAAGGTGCTTTCAAGAGCAAATATATGGAGTTAYAGCTCCCAGAATTTTGGTAAACAGTGAACAATTTGGTAGCAAAAAGATTGCAGTCTGAGCTGACAAACAGACCAACCTGATTTAATCCACTCGATTCTCTACCCTTCATTTTGCGTTTTCCGTAGGTGGAAAGAGTCTTGAAGACGTGATATCAACTCTACTGTAAGATCAGAGCAGTCCTAAAGCATTCCAAGTCGGACTTCGAGCAAAACCGTAGCGTTTTGAGGTGGTTTTCTGAGCCTCTTTTCTCGGCCTCAAGGTCTTTGAGTGTACAGAAAAGGGCGAGGTAGCACGCATGCGCGCTGCGGCACCAAAACAACGAAGCTGCCAGAAATGAATAAATTCATATTTCTTTACGGCCCGCTATATTCATAACACTAAACGGTAAAGAAAAGTGGGTTCGACTGAATAGTTATCGCCTCAAAGTGGATTATGACCGCCAAATACTCTTATGATACAATCCACAGGGCTATTACTATCATTTCTTTTGTACGAGAGATCTTTGTTTGGCTGGAAGCCCGCGTGTGCTGGTGTTATTTTGCAGTCTGGTTTTATGTTCCTTTGTTTACGATCTAGCGTGTGGTATATCAAGTACAAAACTATTTTGACGGTTTCCTTAGATATCTACATATTATGCTCTAGAGGTGGGAGGRATATGAAGAGCAAGGAAGCCATTTTAGTGCATGACTTCGAAATGGTTACTCGAAGTTTCCGAGCAGCGTGCCACGTGTTGTGAAACAAACAACGGACACGCTTACRATGCACAGACAAGCATAGTCTGCATTGGGCATGCCAAGCGTGACATAAGRAATTCATACTTAAATAATTTACTTTAGTAGCGTTTGCAGTGTCAAAAATGAAGGGTTGTTAATGGAAAATATGTTAAAATAACGAGGCAAGTCCTGACCTTTAATGATCACAAACTTTTCTRAAACAATCACTCCTTCAATCAACTTACCTCCACAATATCAAATATATTGTCTCGTTTTATTGAAAGCTGATAATGCTAAATGCAAATTTTTCTACATATAATCAATATCTAATCACTTAAGAATTTTTGATTATTTAATATAGATCATTTCAATATTTCAATTTTGTTATTTTTTTTAGCTGGCTTACACTTCGTTTGACCTACTTTATTTAACATCTTTACTTATGACTATTAATCTTTATCGGAGTTAAAAATAAGAAATTTCTTAATCTAAAAACAAGAGATTTCTTAATTTATCATTTCAAGGAAAATTATTTTGTACCAACGGAAGGTAGTGCTTGAAAAATAGAGTGTACACTTGAATAATGAAATAATCTATAATTACTTGGGAGAGATCGAGAATGCAAAAACTGCTACAAATATATATTCGTACTGTATATACAATAATAAATGGAAAGAAACACATTGGTTAATAAGACAAGCAATTTAAACAAAGCGGAAATGTTTTTTTCTTCTTCATTGCTTACTTGTAAATATATAGGATTTTAATCCTGTTAAATTAGAATGATAAGAAAAATTGCTTAACATATTCTCTTTTCTGGAAGACGCTCAAAACGTCTACTTAATGAATTGACTGAAACTGTAATCACTAATTGACTCTAATAGGATTATACTAACTGTATATAATAGGTG